GTTGCGATTTACGGATTATCGTTGCGATTTACGGATACGCGTTGCGATATACGGAAACGCGTTGCGATTTACGGATACACGTTGCGATTTACGGATACGCATTGCGATTTATGTGTTCGCGTTGCGATTTTCATATTCGCGTTGCGATTTTGGAAAATCGCAATGCGAATTTGACTATCGCGTTGCGATTTTGGACACTGATTTGCGATTCTGGGGATCGCGTTGCGATTTTTATTTCGCGTTGCGATTTTGTTGGTCATTTTGGCAAATCTAAAAAAAGTTGGTTAAAATCGTATATTATAACTTTTTTTTGGTCACTGAGACGATTTTCTCTTTAAAATTTATTATTGTAACAGAAAAAGAACGAGAGAAACCCTAGATTAATATCACCGCTATGAATCGGCGATAACGGTAGCGATTAATATCATCGGCAAATAAGAAGAGAAGAGATAATAAGATGTACAGAGGAGAGAGAGCGGCCGGTGGGTCCAAGGGAGAGGTTGCGTCTGTGGATCGGAAATGGATCAGCGAGGAGCTTGATAAGCAGCTGGAACGGTCGTCGCCGTCCACTTCGAGGACGACGAACGGCAAGGATAAGTCCGCACACTCCCTTCTCATGGGGAAGCATCCACCTGATCATCATCGCGACTCTCGTTCCGGTTCTCTACCCAAAGCTAACATCTCAAATGGTATAATTTTTAATCACATTTCCCTCTTTCAGTAATTAAGTTATAACTTTTTTTTAGAAAAAAATGGATTTTTTTCTTCTAGTTTCCATATGCGAACATATGAGGAATATAGGTTTCTGTAACCTTTTATTTAATTTTATGATTAAAATTGCATGCTTCATTTGTTTTCCTGTTTGTTTGATTCTACTGAAATGAAGCTTGCCCAAAGGTTTTGAAATGTACGTGATTGAAGCTGTTGTAAACTAAATTGTGAATATTTTATGCCTATATTTTTTTATAAGGGTGAGAAAAATAAGATAAGGCTAATATTCTTAATTTATATTGTCACAATCTTTGCTTTGTTGAGATTATATAGATATTGGCCAAACCCTGTATTTGTATGAAATAAGATTTCCGCAACACCGGTGTTTATAACTCTAAGGTAGTGTCGGCATTGAAACTAAGTTGGTTTTAGCTTTTCTTTTTAACCCTTTTGGACGGAGCATTCAATTTCCGAAATCAAACGAAATGCTTATATGCAGTAAACCTCCATATTTTTAGTTTTTAATATTTTACTATAGTGTGTCACGATTGTCCATTCGGTAGATTCTTCTTTTCTATTTTCTTATTCTTTGTGAACAATGTTTTCAAAGTTAGGGTTGTTACCTTTTGGTTTTTTCGGTGACACTGCTTTCCTATTTCGCTTGTTATTGACATATGGTTTCCCATTTTGCTTGTTATTGACAAATGCTAATGCAAATTTTGATTACATTAGTCGCAGATGAATCTGAAACCAAAACAGAGGAGTCAGATGTTAGTGGTTCCGATGGGGATGACACGACTTGGATCTCATGGTTTTGCAATCTAAGAGGAAATGAATTCTTTTGTGAAGTTGATGATGACTATATACAAGATGATTTTAACCTTTGTGGGCTAAGCAGCCAAGTTCCTTATTACGATTATGCGCTTGATTTGATTTTAGATATTGAATCTTCACACGGTAAGTACATAGTATGTTTCTTCTCATGTCAAGTTGTTTAGGGTTTGTGAAAATTTGATTGCTCTTGATTTTGTTGAAGTCTTTGAGTGGCATCTTGCCATTAGTTTTTTAGAGTGCTCACATATGTCTCATTTATTTTCTTTGAAGCATCTGGTTTCATGATTGGTTTCATTCTAATTTGACTGCTTTTAAATATCAAAGATGGCAAGATTTCCATTTTTTCTGCATTTAATGTTCTTGATGGCATTTTAATTTAAGTGGGGCAGTATTTATGTCATCTAACAACAAGGCAAGTGTCTGTTTCATGTTTCTTGCGATGCGTAATTTGTGTTGGGCTGACATTGATAGGAGATATGTTTACGGAGGAGCAAAATGAATTAGTTGAATCTGCCGCTGAAATGCTTTATGGTCTGATTCATGCTCGGTTCATATTGACAAGCAAAGGAATGGCTGCTATGGTGAGAAGCTCACCATGGTATTTGATGTTATAGTTCCATTTTTACATATTAATATATAAAACTTTACAACAATGTTTTCGAAACTTTTACAGCTAGACAAGTACAAGAACTACGATTTTGGAAGATGCCCAAGAGTTTACTGTTGTGGACAGCCATGTTTTCCGGTTGGTCAATCTGATTTCCCTCGGTCAAGCACCGTAAAAGTATACTGCCCTGGATGCGAAGATATTTACTACCCTCGGTCCAAGTATCAAGGCAGTATCCTTTTGGTCACTGAATTAATTGCTACTTGATACATGCATGCATGCCATGAATAAGCTTTCCTTTCTACCACTTCCATGCATTTATGATAGTCACATGATCAAAGTTTATATATACAATCAATGTTTATTTTTCCGACATTTCTGCCATGGCGTGTTTTGATTTTACCTTAATTATTTCTATCTAGACATCGACGGAGCCTATTTCGGGACCACATTTCCTCACCTGTTCCTGATGATGTATTCGCACCTGAAGCCACAAAAAGCGACTCAAAGCTATGTTCCAAGAGTATTTGGGTTCAAGCTCCACAACCCATAATACTGGGATTAGAGCTTCCCTCCTGCGAAACAGTTTACTGACGAGTTTGTATTCGGTATTCCTCGGCTTCTATTTTTGGAAGTACTGTTATCGAAAAATCAGGTATAGTTTGGTAGTCTTTTGAGGTAATCATGTTTCAGTTCCTTTTCATATGTTCTAAATGAATTACCATAAAATCATTTCTGCAACCAGCAAGTATTAATCTTCAATTTTATCAGCCGGCTTCTTCATCCGAATTTTATTTGCACTGTGTAGTGCCTCGAACTCCCGGAATGTCGTATCCTGTATCACCTAAAAGAAAGAATTCACTAGTGGATCAATTGTCCCATATAAATTTTCTAAGAATGTTCCTTTTTCAATCAATTTGCCCCTTGCATGAACATTTCATTTTGATTATCTTTGTTCACTTATTCTCGGATATGGTCTCAACAGTCCCCAAATCAATGTGTTGTAATGAGTTGTGCATATTTGCAACTTTTCCATGGACTACGATGCAACCGATATCTACTTTACATTTTTCAATCCCTCAACTAAATCTTTTCAAAGGGAAAGTTTGGGTAAAAGTATGAAGTTTGAAAATTTTATGCTCGTTCGAAGCATGGACCGGTCTTGGATTCAAATACTCAAGGTCGGAGCCTGGTCTTGCCATGTTTTATAATATATTATAAACAAATTTTGTATTACATGAAAATTAAATCTAGTATATAAACATTAAAAGTATTTTAAGTTATTTATTTTGAAATTTCATTTAAATTATTTAATTAAAAGAATATAATTTTTAAAGAAACAAAAATAATATGAATAGATATACAATGGGTTTTGATTAATCATTTATAAATATGAGTATTTTTTCTAATAAAAGTAGTTAGTTTTATTAAAAGGTGAAAATATCTAAAATTATAATAAGGGCTTGCAAATATCATCATTAATTAAATATATAATTTAGACATTTTTCTATAGCACTGAAAATAGTCACTTTAGATCATATATAGACCATACATGGAAAACATTAAAAAATTAACCAAAAGACTCGAACAAAAAACCGATGCAAACAAATCTGACTGTATCGGTGAATGAACTACAAAAAGGGATTAAGCTATTGAAAGAGCATTGAGATCATAAATCAAAGTCGAGTGTTGTGAGAAACTATCCACGAACGCAAAGACGCATATCCAAATTCAATCTGAGGGTTCATAGTAGAGAATATCAACAAGATTACAAATTAGTGTTATCTTGATCAGTTGTGTTGTCGTTAAATTCATCCTTAAAAAACATAAAAAAAAGGGGTCAAATGACCAAGAAAGCAAATGAAAAATATGTCACAAAGACAAAGAAAAACATGTCACAAATGTAGAATTATTTTTATTAAAAAATTAAAAAAAGAATTGATGGTTAGTAACTGTCACCGTCAGTTAAACAAAATAAAAAAAAAAGTTAATATGATTTATAGAAAATAACACATACTCTAACAATTAGCCTAATAAAATCCAGAACTTATAGAAAGTGAGAATAATAATAAAAAACACATCATTGTTACTTGTTTTTGATCTCACTAATTTTCACCGTTATTACAAGGATTTTAATGCTTAAAACGATATTTTATTGTTGAATTTTTAAATATTATTAAATAATTATTAAATTCATCAAAATATTACAAAATGCTTATTAAGATCATAATAATTGTATAAATGTAATAATTATTTTGTAACAAACTAATAAAAATTTTAATGATTATTTGATAATAGTTCACTAAAATTAAGGATTATTTAATAATTTTTAAAAGTTTAAGGAACAAAACTAGAATTTATTCTAAAAGTCTCAACCCAGGAGTCTTTCTCGATCTCGGGTGTCCACCCATCTCTTGAACCTCTCTTCTTCGCTCATGTCCCTCAACGATCTCCACCCTCATCCCGCTTTAAAAGACTGCTTGACCCTGTTTGATGACGCCCTGACTCGACTCAATGACTCAGTGTCTGCAATGAAGGCTTAATTGACCAAGAAGAAGATCAGTGATATCCAGACTTGGTGATAATGGGATGGACGGCTGATGATGTAGTCTCCTAGTAAAAGTTTGACCATTGTTGCTAAAATGCAAACTCCTGTACGAGAATTTGGTGCACTTAAATTCACAAGTTGTCTCTTTAAGTTCATCTCTATTTGTTGATGATGCAAATCTTATCTTCCTGCTGGTGCTATACTGATCGACAAAAATGGGGTTCTTAGGCTGAAATCAGACCATATATCCGTATTCGGCAGTCACACCCGAGTAGTTTTACTTCGATCCAATTATTAAACTTGCTTCTATAAGCATTCTGTGAGCCCTTTTAAATCAATTTAATTGTGTTAAAGCTTCATGTGAATGCATCTGATCAAAGCCTGCAACTATGGAACTTTTGTCTGAACATAAAAGAACAAAAGCAATGCTACAAAAAAAGAGAATCATTCGTGATTCGTAGGTTTTTCATTCAGATTGCTCTATTTGATATTTGGAAATTATAATTTTGAGTATAATAGTGGTTTCACGCTTGGGATAGCACCTCAACTGAAGTGGCAGAAAAGGAGAATTAATCCCACACCGACAAAGTATATAAAGTTTATGCTATTTAAATATGAAGTGAAGAACTCATCAGTTCGCCGAGTTGGGTAACGCCTATTTGTGACCCGAGTGGGGGCATTAAGGTGATTGGATATTGGCACATTCTTCAGAGGTGGGTCCGTGATGACTGTTCTCTGGCCTGCCTATTCCAAGCGAGGAGTTGGACTATGGGTCTTATGCGAAGGCATGGGTCTCGTACCACTTAGACAGGAGCACATTGCGTGAGGCTGGCTTCACAGAGCAGCGAAAAGTTCCCTCTCCTCGCGGTGGAAAGATAACAGGCCGTTGTTGTCTGGATCCAATGTGGCTCTAAGGGCGTTCCAATTGTACAGTCATTTTTTCATTTTTTTTCTTATATAAAATTTAAAATATTTTTATTCTTGAAAACTATTTAAAAAAAACATTTTCTTATAGAAATTTTATATAATTGTATGAATAGTTTGTTTTTAACAAATACTTTAGTTTCGGTTTTAACAGTAAAAAGGAATATATTTTAATACTTTAATTTCATATACATGATTGAAGCAAATTCATAACTGTATATATGAATATACAAAATTATAATTTATATATCAAATTATATACTAAAAAGTTCAATGAAAATTTAAAATTATCTCTAAAACAAAATCTTGTTTAGAATAAAGAGAGTGACGTCAAAATTTAATCTCTAGTCATTCTCAATGCATCATCACAGCAAGCTGTCTTCACATGCATCAATAGGATTTATTAAATTTATTTAAAGATGGAATTATTTACACAACTTTATAAAACAAGTTATTTTGTATTTCGATCTACCATGGCATGAATTTTTTTTATTGATTAATATTTTATTAAATTTAAGCATAAAATGTTTTTAATACTTAAAAAGCAATAAATTCAAATTTAAATGAGCCTTGTAGAAAATCAAAGTGCAACGGCTGTAGAATTTAATGGCCTTGGAAATTTTTGCAACATAGATTAGGTAGAGAAAGGGTGGTCCAAAGCTATATAGGTATATAGGAAGCTAAGCTAAGTGATCCACTGGCATTCACATGGGCTTATTGTACAAATTTTGCCTACATAAATGGAGACACGGGCACTGTTTACATAGCTCGGCCATCAATTGATTTAAGTTTTATTCTATAGTTAAATTTAATTTTAGAATAAACTATACGTTTAATACCTAAACTATTATCTTTGTTCTATTTTGGTACTTAAACTTTATCTTTTTCAAAATCATACGTAACATTTAGTTTATGTTTCATTTTGGTAGTCCACCGTTAAAAATATAACGGAACTTCTGTACGTGGTAATTTGTATAGGTAAATTACATCATTCATCACTAAACTATCTTCTCACTCATGTATATTTTGGTCACTAAAGTTGAATGTTTTTCAATTTAAGCACTCAACTTTCAAATTGCTCATGTTTTAATCATTCTAATTTATTTTATTAATAATTTTTGTTACATGACATTTATTATTATCTTATTAATATATAATTGAAATGAAAAATAATAAATTTGAAGGTTAGAGTGATTAAATTAAGAGTAATTTGAAAGTTACGTAACTAAATTAAAAAAATTTAGACTTTAGTGACTAAAATAGGAGTGAGAATATAATTGAGTGATGAATGATGTAAACGTTAAGTTTTTAACAGAGAGATACCAAAACGAAACAAAAAGTAAACGTTAAATATTATTTTGGAAAAAATAAAAGTTTAGGTATCAAAACAGGACAAAAATAATAGTTTAGGTATTAAACATATAATTTACCCTTAATTTTATTATAAAAAGATTAATTTATAATTAAATTTATTTAAACAAAAATTCTTATCGGTAGGTAATGTTTTCTCTACAACTATTAAAGTATATGTTGCATAAATGCATTTTTGTAGGATATTAGGATAGTGTTTTAAAATACATTACAATTTTAGAATATATGTATTTGATTTTATAAACAATAAATTTTATATATTTGTACATTTTGGGAAATCTACGTGAATTACAATTTAATTCTTTTTATTAAGTGGAAGGATATTAGTAAAGATGAGATTTAAACTCATTCTCCCTCCCCAAATTTATAACGGTGATCATTAAATAATCATTAAATTTATTTAACTGTTACTAAATAATCATTATATCGTTATAATAAGCGTAAAAGCTCGATAATAGTGATCATTTTGAAATAATTTGACAAAAATAATTTTAAAAAAATTAATAATTAAAATATTCGTTTCAGTATAATTTGATAACATTTAATTTAAAGTATCCTATTTTTTTTTGTGGCAGACCCTATAAGCAAAGGCAAACCCTTTTCATTTAAATCACATAACATAACCTTAGATCCTATAACATGTACGGCTGATTTTGGTGGACCAACTCGTAAATGATGGATATGAATTATAGGGTAAAAATCAATAGAGACAAAATCAAAATAGGGCAAGCAATAAACAGACAATGAGACAAAGGTATCAATTTGGTAAAATGTAAACATCTGTACTTTCTTTGAATTTAATACTCTGATAAGACTTGACATATAGTTCATCATAATATCATAAATACAGACGTGATTTTAAGTTTCTCACTACTTGAATTTGAATTTTATTTTATGTAAATCTTATATGAATTTTCTAATTAAGTTTATTTTTTAAAATAGTTTGAGCTGATTATAAAATAATATTTATTTAGAATTTTATTAACCTATTTGATAACGCATCTACACATATTATAGATGCAGCTATTGAAGCCTGAGATCTCTATGAAGAATAATATTTCCTCTTACCAATGAATCACTCAATGGACTTAGTTGGATTTAATTTAAATTAACTTAATTCTTAAATCAATTATACATTTATGTATTTGTAACAATTTATTCTGATTATGATTATTATCTCTCATTTTACAAGATTTTGACATTCTTAATAACATTATATTATAGGCTTATGATAATTTCTTCATCCAAACATGAGAAGGTGATTTCCAAATGTATAATTATCACGAATGATCGTATTATGTGTGAACTAATCACGAGCTAATGAGTACGTACTTGCACCGTATTCGACAACCGGTGTAAAGAAACCAACATTTTTGTTATGCATGTTTACTATCAACTGTCACGCGGTGCAATCTTTCATCCTCGTTGAGTGTATATATAAGAGCTGGTTGTGCCCTCTAATTTCAGTGTCTTTTTTAAGGGTTGTATTCTATGTCTGGCCAAGGATCAACAAGTTCCCACAGAATCACAGATGATGAGCTCAATGCTCTCATCTTTAAGCTGCAAACGTTGCTGCCTCAGCTTAATCAAGGCCGCCATGGCAGGGTAGAACCCCCCCTCTCATCCTCTCTCTTACTTGTTTTTACTAGATTTGAATTGGTTTAAAGTCAACTTGAATCAAATCCTAAATAAGGAAAAACTATTGCAATGTTTAAGTTATGAACTTGTGAATTATAGGTCGTTCAAACATTACGATTTATTTTTATTCTCGATTTGTTTGACTTTCTCTCTCAGTCGTATAAGGTTTGATTTTTTATTTTTCATTCCAATTTTAGATTTTGACTTTCTTAACTTCATTTTGATAAAATAATTTTTTAAATAAAATTTTAAGGTTATTTGGTGAATTTAAAAAACCATACATTTCCTTTTTTTCCCCTCAAGTAAATAAAGATAACTAATAATTTTCATGTAGTGTCACAAAGTTACTTTCACTATTTGAATGCAAAATACATATTTTACATTATAAAAAGAGTTAGGATCCACTTACACATAGTATAAAACTTTTACTTTTACTTTTACTTTTAGGATCGTTGGATGAGAGAAAATCAAAGGCTGATATTAACTCTTTGTTTTTCCCCAGTGATATCTTCACATTTTCTACTGTTAATCTCAGTCTTTGATTTCCCTTCATCCAACGATCCTAAAAGAGTGCAAAACTAAAAAGTTTTACACTATGTAATTGAATCATATCCCTTATAAAAATAAGTTTTAATAAAAATAATCACGATTTTTTAAATACCACTGTCGTTTAATTAGATTTTCGATTTTATTCTCAGTCATATCGAGTATTTTCAATAAGAAAAATAATGTTAGAATATTCTTCCTACGGTTAGGAATCCAATCTAATTTAACTTTGGATATAATCAAGATTTATATGATTACCGGACCGATGAATAAAAAAGTTTAGGCGTGGGGGATATATTTGAATATTTTCAATGTTAATATATACAGAGCCTTTTTTCTGCATGCATTTTATGATCAGGTATCAGCAGCAAAAGTGCTGAAGGAAATATGCAGTTACATCATGAGATTACGAAACGAGGTTGATAATCTGAGCGAAAGGCTGTCTCAACGTCTACACTCCTTGGATTTAAGTGGTTTTGATGCTGAGATTCTTAGAAATTTGTTGCAACAGTGAAAGCCCGCTGTCCATTTTTGCCCACTGTATGAAGTTTGAATAATCCAATTATATTCTGTAAAATTCTGTTTGTTTTACACAAATTTAGGATAATTAGATGAGTGAAAATAGATGGTCGAGATTGAAATTAGGAAATGAGAAGATATTTAATGGAAAATAAAATAAAGAGTTAATCTCATCCATTAATTTTCACTAATCCAACGGTGTTAAATTTATGTAAAACTAAAAGAGTTTTACATTATGTAAGTAAATATATATATAGAGAGAGAGAGAGGCAGAAAGATTGTATCATTTTCTATTGATTAGATCA